AAGAAATGATTAGCCTGCAATTATTTAGCTTGATGAAAAAACTCATCCTGTAATCATTGATCAATACCTGTCTTTTTGCTCACTGTGACCTAATAAAAGTGCAGGGGAACACTGACTCCGTGCTTAGTCTCCAAGGAAGTCTAAGCGGTCTGCATAAAACATCAAAAAAAAAAAAAATGATTCTGTCGGAAGGGATTTTTCCCCCTCCCTCCCTCTGCCCCCTAACTGCCCCCACTACACACACACTGGGGCCAGTTGGAATGTTCCAGTGCTGACCAGCTGCTGTGGGGGTAGAGCAGGTGGAGTTTCATCAGAATTGGGTGGAACTCAAATGTTTATGAGGTCTTCTGTTTCCCTGGTTAGGGGAGCTAGAGGCAGTGGGGTGACGGGGTGGCAGTTGCAGCTGTAAAGCTGGGGCTCAGCTAGTGGCGTCTCTGTCCTGTGTGGGCTGCTTGCAGGGAAAAGCCAGGCTGTGCTGTGTGAGTGTCACCTTTGATTTCCTCTCTGCGAGGGGCTGGTAAGCGATGGCAAGGCCCCAACGTGGGGGACAGTACAGGACCCAAATCCAGCATGTGTGCTTCATCCTCACCGTAATAGTGAGGAAGTGCTTTGAAGCAGTGCCCTTCCTGCTTCTTGGTCCCTGGGACCCCTGTTCTCTGCCTCTCTTCTTCCTGCCTCTTCTCCCCAGGCTCCTGGGCTTGCTGATCCCCTGCCTGTCGTCTCTTGGGCACTGCAGGCCTGTGTCAGGCCCTTTTCGCCTCTCTCTTGGCCTTCGTGAGCTCACCTCACCCAATAGCTGACGACTTTCCAATATACACTTTCAGCCCCAACCAAGCGCCTCTTTTCTCCAAACGCCCCCTTGACATTTCATGGCGAAGTCTAGTAGGCATCCTCACACACGGATAGGTGTGGGCAGAGCCGGTAGTGTTCCTTCCCAGATCCATCCTCCCGCACCCTGCTCTCCCCCATGTGCAGGACCACCCAGTCCCTTACTCAAGCTCGAAAACTCTGGTCCGCCTGTGGTTCCCCCTCACCCCCACACAAATTAGGAGCTACTAATTTGTCAGCTCCTGCTGTATCCCCAAAATATTAAATATGATCTGATTCCATCCTCCTCTGAGCCACCCCCAACCCCACTTGTTCCAAGAGCCTCCCTTCCATTCCCCGTGGCCCACTGTCCACACACCAGAGGGAGCTTTTTAAAACGAGTGCCCGTGTGAAGCCTTATTCTGTCGCTGGAATAAAGTGGACTCCTTACAGTGGCCTGTGAGCCCCTAGGTGGCCCTACTTCGACCGCGCACTCTACATTCATCTCCTGTCCCTCTCTTGGTTCTTTCCACTCCCTCTGCTGTTTTCCCACCTCTGTTCCCGTTGGTCCCCAACACTCTTCTCACTTTGCATCTAGAGATGCTTCTCTGACTCTCTGGCCCCAGGGAGAGTGTGGTTTGAGGTCCGCACCAACGGTGAGGGAGAGCAGGGTGGCCGACGGCTGCAGCCTAATGGAAAACCCAGAATTCAGACCCAAGTGTTTGTCCTTTAAACCTCACCAGGCCCGTGCTGTCCCCAACAGCTCGAGGCTTTTCCCCAAGGCTCCAGGAACTTTCAGATGCATCTTGCAAATGTCAGGAGCTGGTCATCATGAGGCTGGTGGCTTTGAATGTCAGCTGCACACCCACGGGCCGTGCAGACAGCAGCTAAAAGGCCAGGACGAAAGGCAGGGCTGGGCTATTTCCCAGAGCAGCCAGGGCCCTTGTCGTCTCTGGACCTGGTGCTGCCTGCCTGCGGTCCATCCCATGAGGACAACCTGGGGTCCTCCTCCTTTCCACAGGCCTGTCAGGCCATTAACCCTGTGGAGAAATGGCTGCAAATCAGAGTGCTGCTAAGGGCTTGTCTCTTTTTAGACAATTTTGTGAGTCCATGTCAGGGAGAGAATGGACTGTGGTTCGTAGCTTTGCCCAAGGGCTCTGTTGCTCTGTTAAAAGCCACTGATGCCATTTTCAGATGGCTGACCATTGGCTGGACAGTCTTCCGCTTGCTCCTTGGTCTCCTTGTCTCTAAAATGGGGATGAGAAGCCTGTCCTGTCAACCCGCAGGCTATCGGTGTAAGGCCCCTGGTGCCAGCTAACGCGGATTGAGTGCCTTCTCTACACCAAGCACCGTGTCACGTGGATTCTTGTCTCATGCTCACCACAGCCTGTGAGGGGGGCACTCCAATTTCTGCCACCTTCCAGGAGAAGGCTGAGGCTCAGAGAAGCTCAGTGAGCCCGCCCAGGGTGGCAGAGCAGGTGGGCGGTGGGGAGAGAGGCCTCCAGCTCCGTCTGCATGGGCCGCCCGTGCTGCCTCCCTGTGGGCAGCAGAGCACCTCGGACTGTGTGTCTTCCCATCCTCCTGGTCAGCCCCTGTGAGGACAGCTGTTCATTGTTCAGATGAGGACATGGAGGCCTAACATAGTTGAACGACCTGCCCAGAGCCACCTAGTCGTGAGTGCTGAGTCCTGGGTCTGTCACCAGGGCTGTCTGAAAGTCCTTTGAAAGATGTGAAAAAGAAAAATGGTAAAAGCCAGGGAAACTTAACGCCTGTCAGGTCTCAAAGTAGTAATGGGTATTTTTAAAAGCCCGATGGAACTTGCACATTTGCCCACATGGGGCTGCCCTCAACTTTAATACTTGCTTCTGGCTGGCATTTTATCATCCCAGCGCAATATTAATCATCTTGCCCCTTAAGAAACTCTGCCAGATTGTGGATGATACAAAAAAAGTTGTGGGGTCCACATAGGATGAGGGAATTGGTAAGAGATGAGGACCCCCGTACCCACAGGAAGCACCAGACAAGACCTTTCCCGACTCAGAATCCAGCTTTACATCCTGCCACTTACCACCGTCACCTGGGAATAAATGTCGTCGCCTTCATCAAGGTGGTGGCAGGCCACCCGCTACCCTGGCTCAACTGCACATGCAAGACTTATCACAAAAGTCGCTTTGTTAGAGGAATACTGTGCATACTGCTCTGCCTCTGAGGGCACCAAACTCCATGCTGGTCTCCCCAGATACTATGGTGGGCATTTGTCTTTTTTATTTCCCTGCCCAGGATCCAACCGGCGCTTCTGCACTGTGTTTAAAAAACTCTGCACTTGCCACAGAGGCTGTAGGCGTATTGGCCTCCCCTTGGGTAGTCCCGCACATGCGGGAGCCAGGGCACGGGAGGGTTCTCCCAGAGGCAGTGACAGCAGCTGTGTCTAGTTTCTGGGGGCAGTGGCTTCAGCGCCTCCTGCTCCAGGGCAGCATCCAGGAGGTGATTCTGCCAGTGGCACCCTTGCGGCCCGCAGTGTGAGCCAGGCCCCACCTGGGTCCCCAGAGCTCCCTTGTCCTGCCAGCTTCCTGAGCCTGGTCCTCTGGCTTTCCTGGGGATCCCGTGAGGTGCCAAAGGCCTTGGAGTGAAATTCTCAATTTAAATGAGACAACGTCTGTTTCTTGTGCCTAAAGCTAAGAGTCAGACTTGCCAGAGCTGGTGCTCTCTGGCTATTCACGGGTTTTCATTCATCTCCAGGCCCCTGAGAGCACCGCCTCACTGCCTGAGCACCTCTGCAGGGCACAGAATTTACGAGACTCCTGGGTTAAGAGGGTGGCATGACCGCAGGCGCAGCCAGTCTCCCTTCACCGTCTGTCTGACCCAAAGCTCTGCTCTGTCTGCAGCCACGGGGCACCTCTGCACCACAGGCTCTGAGGACAGGGCCGAGACTCCCTGCCTTCCTCAGCCATGCCAACACCTACTAGGTGCTCAGGGAGGTTGGATGGGTGGGTAAAGGGACCAACGGAGAGATGTGAGAAGTTGGTGCCTCTGGGCTCTCCTCGGCCCCAGTGAGACGGATGTGGCCTGGGGCTTGGCAGGAAGGTGGCCTTTGGTTACTAACTGGAGGTGGGCTGGGGAGATCACTGGGTGTAGGATGGGGAAGTAGGTAGGTAGAGCCTTGGAAGGGCAGTGTAGTTAGTACCCTCCAGGCCTTTCATGTCGTGGGTGGCATAGAAAGTGGTGATGTTTACGTGGTACCCAGGGCCTTGTCCTGCCGCCCAGGAGCTGAGGTGCCCTCTGAGCATGCTGGTGACCTGTTGGCAGTAAGCCTGTGCTTGCCAGCCAGGATGTGCCAACAGGCGGGACCCTGGGGCATGGTCCCCACTGCCCCCACACACACTCAGAGGAGCAGGTCTGCTGTGTGACCTCGCCCTTCCTAACCCGTCTTATTAAGTTGCAGATATGTTTCCTAGTTTAGCATTTGCGTTTAAGATTTCTTTTTCCTTTCACCCCATTCGTTCTTGATGATGGTTTTCTCTACAGGAGGTCCTGCGCCTTGACCTGAAGAGTGTGGCCCCTCCTTCAAAGCTCTCTGTGGACGTGGCTTCACAGCCTCTCCTAGAAATATGCGGCAGCTCAAAGGGAAGCCCAAGAAGGAGACATCCAAGGACAAGAAGGAGCGGAAGCAGGCCATGCAGGAGGCCCGGCAGCAGATCACCACAGTGGTGCTGCCCACGCTGGCCGTGGTCGCGCTTCTGATCGTGGTGTTCGTGTACGTGGCCACGCGCCCCGCTGTCGCTGAGTGAGCGCCGGGGCGGACACCCCTCCCAGCCGCCGCCCCCCGGCAGAGCCAGGAGGCTTGGGAGGGGAAAACGCCAAAGAAAATGGCTTTCATAGAGGTTTTCCTGTGCTGAGCTCTAAGCAGGAGCCCCTGTGTTCTCTGGTCTTTGACTTGATTAAAGTTTCTCCAATTTTCCTGGGAGGGAATAGGGAACATTATATCAGTGAGCGTGCCATACACCCTATGGTCCACTTCATGTGCCTTTCAGACTTCAAAGCAGTGTGTATGTGTGTGTATGTGTGTGTTTTTCTCTCCCAAAATCAGTATGGAGCTCCACGCAGTGAGAGGGGGCATCTCTGGGTCATGAATCAGTTGGAATCAGTGTTCACCCCATCCCTATTGCTTTGAACATGACCCTTTTCCTACACGTGGTCACAGTTTCCAAAGGGACTGTATTTCTTCTCTGTGCTTAATGTCATTTGAAATATGTCGACTCAAAAGTGAAATATTTATTTTTTGATAAAGGAGATAATAGCCTTAAACTGGATGTTTGTTTTGTTTTGCTAGAAGGTGGCCATGCTGTCTGTGGAGGCGCTGTCTGTCGGGCTCTGTCTCTGGGCTGTGTCCCTCTCCCCCAACCCCACCTCCCCTGAGGCTTTCTATTCCCCATCCCTGGCTCCTTGCTGTGACTCCCTGCCAGGAAAACTGTGCTTTTTGTCTGGATCCTTTTATGGCTGAGAGAATCTTGAGAGAGACTGGAAGCGTGTGTTAATTGGTCTGTTTTGGCAAAATAAAAGTTCTCATTGGACTATGACCATAAGTGCTTTTTACACCAGTTTGCAAACAGTCGCCCAAAGGTGGTCCTGGAGGTAGAGGCCAGCCTCGGCTCTGCTGGGGCTGAAAGGATGCAGAGTGTTGGCAGCCCCACTGAGGTTTTGAGGCAGCCTGGCCTTGCAGGCAGGGTTGCATCATTGTCCTCTAAGGGCTTCACTAGCCCTGGGCCTGCTTCCTGGTGGAGTGGCCCCGTGTTGGAAGCCAGATTCATGGTAACTGTTCAGACTGTGTCTGTTCTCCTGTCATTGCCGATCACAGGGAGACTTGTGGGGACAGAAGCACTCTTCTAATCTCATTGTCTGCGTGGCTCGCTCAGTGATGGCACAGGCTGTTATTGGGGACATGGTCTCTTGGAGTGAGTCTCTCAGGAAGACAAGCAGCTGCTGAAAGTGAGGATCCAGCTGATGCTTGGAGGTCCCAGAATGAGGCAGGGCTGAGAGCCCATCCCAGAGGCAGACCCCCTGCTGCTCGCTCACGGCACCCCCCGCACCACCCCTCCCCCCCACCGTGGAAGGAGATTGGCTAAAGTAGGTATCTAATGTGGATGCTGCTAGCGTAGAGGTCCTCTTAGGTTTCCGTCCCCCACTCCCCGCTCAGTTGGTTCTCTTACGGTACTTGTTGGTCTGAGAAACACAGAAGGCTCCTGCCCCCGAGACCTGCTCTTCATGGTGGCCTCAGGGCCACTGAAACACAGGATGCCGGCTCCTCCCTCCACTTGCCCCAAGGGAGGAGGTGGGAGGCTGGTGAGAAGACAGTCTGTCCTCTCTGGTAGAAAGAGCCAGGCTGCTTGTGTAACCTCCTGTTCTGCGTTTAGTTCCCAGCCTACCCCTCAGAACTGTGGATCACTCAGACCCACTGCACCTCAGTTTCCCCACCTGCGGGTAACTGGTTAAGTTACTTTTAGGGAAGTAGACCATCTAAGAGAAAACAGGTATTAGAAGAAACCTGGGATTTCATGAAGGTTTTGCTGCCAGAACCCCACTGAGTCCAATTCTTTGTAAATAGTTATCTTGCCTCATAGGATTTTTGGAGGAATCAGTTGAAATAGTAGTACATTTGTAAAGCCAAGTCTGGGACCTGGATGTGGTGGTTATTCTGTAAAGAGTCATAGTAGCTCAGCATGTTGCATGTATTAATTCTTTTATTTCTCATTCAACTCTGTGAGGTAGGTACTCTAAATACTCAATTTTACAGATGAGGAAATTGAGGCAGTCCAAGAAACTTGTCACTGTTATACAACTAGTAAGTGGAGGAGCCCAGGTTTGCTTATTTTTATGCCTTTTTTTTTGGAAATTTCAAACATACAAAAGTAGAATAAATCACCTCATGTACCAGTTGACCAGCTTTAGCAAACCCCAACACATGACCACTCCTGCCCAGTCATCTCTACCACTCCCCACACCAGACACCTCAATGCACACACACTTTGGTTTGCTCTGCAAGAAAATGGGAAGGGATTTAAACGCAGACAGTCTGGCTCCAGAATCCATGCATGTCACCATTAAGATTTATTATCTCTTAATAAACACTTCTCTTCACTCTCCCAATGTAAAGAAACCTTTCCTGGCGAGGTGTGTGCAAACAGTCTTCATGGTAATAGTTGCAACAGCCTTAGACGAACAAGCTGTGAATTCAACTTCACCCATGGGGTATCTCATGCCTCACCCCATCTCTCATCTTGTGGAGGAACAGGAGCCTTACCCCAGGGACAATCAAGGAGAAATATGTGTTCCATGGCTCCTTATTAAAACACTTTACTTAGGATATCTTGGGCATGACGTGGGAAGAACATGAGCTTTGGGGAGCAGAGACATATGTGAATCCTAACTCAACCCCTTTCCAGCCAAATGACTTGAGTCAGATCCCACTGCCTAAGCTGCAGCTGCCCCCCATTTATCAGCTTCTGTCAAGGTTTATTTTACTCTATAGAGGATGATGGGAGGATAAATTGAAATAGGAAACAGGCATGACATCATGCCCAGTACCTTGTAGACATTCACTAAGTGACCATTCCCTTCTTTCTTGTCAGTGTGTTCAACCCTCCCAGAATATACATCAAGGCTTTCCTCCCAAGGCTTGACTTGCCAGCCTGACATTAACCCACACACGGAATAGTAGATCCTTTAGGTGCACCTGGCTCTTATTTTCACCCACTGTTTTTCTCTGTTGTCCATCAGGAGGCCTAGTGAATTTGGACTGGGTTTTTAGGAGAAGGCAATTACTAGACAGGCTTGGTGAAAGCAGGCTAAAAATGTACTCTTGAAAGTTAACACAACTTTGATGTGAGCCACCTCCTGGCAGGGATGAGATGCTAGTTTACTGTGGACTTGGTGGAATTGAACAATTCTTAAGGTAAATAATACTCCCATTTGGGTACATTGGGTAATGATTTGAGACACCAGCTTCCAAATTATCCCCAGTTACTCAATGGATTCCAGGCAAAACTGAATGATTTACTAGGAGTTTCACAGAAAGCCATGCTAGGTTCTGTGGTAGGATCTAGGGCTCTTGGCTTTTGGAGTCCTCAATACTGAGCCTAACTTTCTTGAAGAGCAAATAGGAATTAGGTTAGAAACCATTGTCATTGGTTTAAAAGATATCACTTTATATTTAAAAAAATCATGATATCAAGATATGTTTGTGTATTTGTGGGCTCTGAAGCCACCAGCTTTAATTCCTTCCAGGTCGGTTCAAAGACAGAGCAGCACATACCCATCTTTCCTTCTTGGTCAGTGTTGCTCCAGGAGGAGGGGGCTCCTCGCTCTGGGCAAGTTCACTATGAATTTGGGGAGACCAAATAATAACAATGGAATGTTGGAGGTAAAAAGGGGCAGCTCATACCAAGGTATGAGTAGATTGAGTGCCAAACTCCTGTCCACCCGTCTTAGTCTCTGGCCCCAGCTCCAGGCTCTGCTGCCCTGGTGCTGCCTTCGCTCATGGCCCCAGCTCCATTCCCTCATGCTGTTAGCATCAGGCTCTGCTCTCCCCTCTCCTGCTTCCCTCTCTCTTCCTGTTCTCTTCTCTCTTCCTAGCACAGGGCTCCGAGACATAGGCTTCTCTTCTTAAAGCACTATTGGCTATAAATAGTTTACTTCTAAAGGATATGCAAGTAGGTTAAGTATTATGTCATTGCATGTATACAGTGGGTGATATTAAGATCAAATGAGAATACTGGCCATAAAATTTCCATTTCCCTATAGTCAGTTTAAAGACAGAGCAGCAGACACCCCTCTTTCTCTCCCAGTCAATTTAAAGACAGAGCAGCTCACATCCATCTTTCCTTCATGTGCTATTAGGAAGAAAAACTGCAGCCAGACTCATCTTTAAATTGGAGAGGGTAACACCTGCCTCAGGGTTGTTAGGAAAACAAAAGAGATGATTGTTCTTCCCTTTTCCCGGAAAGAAATACACATCATTATTTACTTGCTAGAGGTAGAAAAGAAGAAAATCTCTTGAAATTATGGGCCTTAGATTTCTTTTGGGAAGTTTACCATCAAATGTGTGTGTGTGTGTGTGTGTGTGTGTGTGTGTGTGTGTGTACATATGTATATCTCTAGCGTTTACGGTCCTGTAATGAAAATGCTTCCCATGGTCTGTCACCTGAAGGTACCTGCCTGCCTTTGGATGCAGTTTTTTTTTCCCAGGAATCATCTAATAGGTTCTAAAGTTAGAAACTGTCTAATTCTGTGTTCTCTACAATATTTGCCATAGACTTGCTTAAATATTAAAAATGAGATACTAAAAAATTTTTAATATTTAAACTTTAAAAATGATTGGATAGGAACTATATGAGTAGCTTCCTCTTGATCCTTTCAGAATATCTGTACAAGAACTGGATAAGCGTTTGCACATCCTCTGGGTTCCTGTTCCACTTTTCTCCATGGGCTTCAAAGATCAAGACGAACAGTGATGCACACACATCTTGCCTCACCCACTCTGTTAGGCTTAATTTTTCTTATGGCTCTTTGTGTAGTCCTGTAGCCAGTCTGTCCTCTTCTGTTTGAGTGTTTTCTCATTACAAGGCAAATGTGTCTGACTTCAGTGTATTTCATTTGGGTCATCTGTATCATCTCCCTACCTGCCAGTTCTGTAGAAAGTGGAAAGGAGCCAGTCTTTTCAAAAAGTTTTTAATCCCTTGAACTGTTGAGTAATAATTTAAGGAATGTAGACCAGAACAAGCATTTGGGTCAGTAATGTCATGGTTAAAGATCTCTCTCCTTCCCTTGTTCACTTCCCCCTCATTAGATGAAGGCTGTCTGTCTTTGAACCCTCCTGGGAAGGAAACTTCTCCAGCCTGTGAATTTTCTTTTTTCAGTTGAAACAAGGCAAAGCTGGCCACTTGTTGATCATTTAAACTCTTTCAGGAAGTATATTAAACCTTTTGGGATTAGACCTAACCCCCAAGCCATCAACTTGTTTGGACTGGAGTAAATTAAGGAAGCCATCGTGTCTCCTTTTACAAGACCTTCCACCTTGAAATATCTCTGCCTCTCACTGTATTACAGGCTCACTCAAAGTTCAGCCCATCTATTTCATCCATTCAGATTCTCTGGAGTCACTGAAGTTCCCTGCCTCGTACAGTCCTCCCAGATTGGATTTTAAAAGATGTAGCAATATCTGCAAAAAACATTTAAAACAAAAGTGTACCAAAGATTAAACATTAAAAAGGTGGGCAACGGTGTGTTAGGCTAATTGAACAAAAGCTGTGGCAGCAATTTTAACATTAGCAAAACAGTTACAGGATGAACATGACATAAGGGGCAAAGGATGATATATACTAGTAATGTAATAACAAACGGTATTATGATCATGGACTTGTATGTTGCTAACAGTATAGCTTCAAAAATATGTAAAGCAACTATTGACAGACTAGAAATAGATCCAACAGTTGAGGAGTTTTAATATATACCTTTCAGAAATGGATAGATCAGGGACTTGAAAGAGCAAAGATGTAGAAGACTTGAATGATAAAATTAATAAACTTGAGCTAGTAGATCAATGCAGGCATACCTTGGAGATATTGTGGGTTTGGGTCCAGACCCCACAACAATAAAGTGACATCACAATAATGCAAGTCATATGAATTGTTTTGTTTCCCCAGTACATATAAAAGTTATGTTTACACTATTTTGCAGTCTAGTAAGTGTGCAATAATTGTCTTAAAAAATAATGTGCATACCTTAATTAAAATATACTCTATTGCTAAAAAATGCTAACCATCATCTGAGCATTCAGGCAGTCATAATCACTGGTTATATTACCATAACAAATAATGATGAAAAATTTGAATAAATGAAATAATAATACAACAATAATGGAAAACTATCATGCGAATCGTCAAAATGTGAAGCAAGCAAATGGTGTTGAAAAAAATCGCACCAATAGACTTGTTTGATACAGTGCTGGCACAAACTTTGATTTTGTGAAAACATCTGCAAATTGCAGTAAAGCAAAGCACATTAAAATGAGGTATGCCTGTTTCAATCTTTTCACTCAACAGAGAATGAACTTTGTTTTTTAAAGGCACATATGGGACATTAATAAAAATTGGCTTAAACACTTTAAAATTTGATGAAAAATATAAACCCACAGATTCAAGAAGTTCAACAATTGCAAGCAAGATAAACACAAGTCATGTGAATTGTTTTGCCACATCTCAGCACCTCACGGTCAAATTGCTAAAAACCACCACCGACTGTAATGGGAGTAGAAATCACATAGTCCTCCAGTTTCCTTCTTTACCATTTAGCACCAGAAGAGCAATGCTAATAAAATTCTTTGGAGGAAAAAGCCAGACTCAAGACCTTTTTTTTCTTCTATTTTTCCTTTGTGTATTATTCATTTAACAAATATTTATAGTGCGGTTATATGGCAGGTACTGTTCTTTGCATTGGAGGTAAACCAGTGAGGAGAACAGACCCATACTTCCATCTATGTAATTTACATTCTAGTGAGGGATTGTATCAATCAAACTACCACTTATGTGTGAATGCAATACATAAACATTTATAAACATGGAAAAGTTCAGGAATGTATTTCTCATGAGCATTTGGTAAAGAAACTACAAGAGGATAGAATCCGACCAATCAAGAGATAAATGGAGAAACTACAGCAAAAGAATCTACTGTAGGATGAACGGACCAACTGTGGAAATTATGGTTACAAAGTTGTTTCGTAGTAGAAATTGGAAATGAGAAGATACAAGGTGGCATAACTCTTATTAAAAGTAAACATTAGAGTTGATAATATACTTTATAAGGGTAAGTACTGAAAGAATAAATAGAAATAATCAGCTAATCAAGTGGAGGAGGAGGTGAGGAAGTAAAAGCATATTATTGTTGCTTATAAATGGTGTCAGTAGTTAGAAGTTAAAGCAGTAGATTAATGAATTTAACTAAAAGTAAGACAACTTTCAGAATGATCAGAGCATACACATGAGCAAAGTAAGCAAGTCAAAGATTGGATTTTGTTTTAATCGATCAAAGTAGAAAAGTGTGATGTAATATGATAGAAACAAACCAAACATCTGTCATATCTAAATGCAGAAGGCTGAATATACTTCTTTTAAGAAGAAAGCTGAATTACAAAGGAAAACCCAAGTATATGCCATATTAAAAAAATACACCTTAACTGATTCAAAATGTTTGAAATATAAAGGATGAACAAAAATGTATATTAGTAATACATGTAGAAAATAACCATACCTCTAAAGCAGTGCTGAGAGGAAAATCCACAGCATTAAATACTTACATCTATAAACATGGAAAAACTAAATTGTCAGGGAAACAGGAAGCAGTAGTCACAGCTCCACGATTAAAGTTGAATGGAACAAAAAAATGGAAGAGATAAAGGACACATGATAATGACAATGTGCATAACTCATGATGAAGATCTGAAAGGTATGAATATATATGCAAAAATGATCAAATTTTTCTTAACACTACAGAAACTACAGTAAGTGGTCATAGAAACAGTAAATGGAGACTTAACATTCACCATCTTTAGCCCCTGATGGAGCAAGCAAATAAAAGACAAGGGTTTAGAAGACAAACACCGTAATAAAATAGATCTGACTCACATATGTCAGTAGATTAACGAGTGTAATAAATTCTGTCACTAAAAACAGGTTATTTTTTTTTTCAAGTTTCAGAAACATTTACAAAAAAATTATTGAATTATGTGCTTACTCCAAATCACGAACTCCGTGAGATGTGAAGGGAAGTTCGGTGTCTTGTTAACTGTATTTCCCCAGGAGTTAACAGAGGTGACCAATAAGTATTTTTACACAAAAGAACATAGAAGTCACAAAAGAAAAATACAAATGGCCGATAAGCACATGAGGATAAAAAAAAAGTGCAAGTTTATAAACAAAGTTATTTCTGTTCAAATAATAATAGAATAACATTTAACTTTTCAAATTGGCAAAACTTTAAAAAAGTAACATGCTCTAAATCCTGCCTTGTCTATATAAATGCACACCTAGAGACTGTGTCAACTGCAAAATGTCAATCAGAATAGGAAAAAAAAAAGCTCTACCCAGTTCCTAATTCCCTCAGGCAAACATCCAGGTGAGCCATGACCTTAAGGAATTGTACTGCTTGTGTTATGTTACATTGTAACTTGTCCTTTACTTTAGTGGGTGTCCTGGCCACAGAATGGCATAGCGTCCTGACGAGCCTATGACAGAGGTGGGCGCACTCCTGAACAGCCCCCACTCTGTGCTTAGCTGTTCTTGCCTGTCATTGTTATCGTGGCCCTCTCTGCAGCTGTCCCCCAAGGGAGCTTCTCCCACAGGTTGTCCTTTAGCCTGTTGCTGACATAAATTTACGACATGGAACTCAGCACATTTTCACATAGCAATAAAGGTACATAGTTCATGGTTAGATTTACAGAATAGATTCTACAAAAACCTATTTGAATTTTAGAACCTTAGAGTTGAAAGGTCTGTAGAGGTTACTGGTTCAATTTCCTACCTCTTCCTGTAGCACCCTGATAAATTCTGATAAAATATGTAGGGTAGGGAGAGCCCACAACTGTGGAAGATGGGCCCAAATGCTGGTATTAACAAAAAGACAAGCAAAAAAATAAGGAGAAAAAGGATTGTGAAGATTTCACATGCAAATAAAGACACCTTACTGTACTTCCTTCTTCAAGTAAGGGTTGGGATTTGACCTCCTCTCTAGTAATGACAAGAACTAATCTCAGCCATGTCCAGAATGATAATTTGAGTCCATGTGCATGAAATATTTATGGGGTAAGGGTGATATGGCCATATCCCAGCTCATCGCTGGGTAAGGATGATGACAAACCAGGTGTCATGTTAAATCTTAAGACCACAGCAGCTCCTGATGCATCTGCTCAGACTGTCATTATTTAAACAAAGACTTCTGGGTAATAATGGCAAGCTGAATGCATGCTCCCTCCTGGTGATAAAACAACAGTAAAGGAAAAAGAACTAAGTTCCCAGGATGAAGAGAAAGTGAGCAGAGATGATAGCAACATTTTGGAAACTCTCATTGGAAAGCAAATGGATGAGTGGTAACTGGATTAGCAGACCTAGGGTGCTGAATGGTAAGCTAGCAATGAGAGCACCTAGGAACCAGCCCCACCTTCCCTGCAGATGCCCCCCACCCCAGGAATCAATATAACAAGGTTCTTCTGGAAGTAATTGTTAAGCCAGAGCAGGAAAAAAAGAGATTGGCTGAAAGTCAGTCTAAACTCATTAGAACCCAGATTCCTTCCCCAACCTTGGCAGAAGGCAGGGGATTCTTAGAAGGTAAACCACGTCTTAGCTGAGGACACCAGGCATAGTTTTAAGGATGAGGTCTTGTACCAAAATTATGGGCCTTAAGTGATCTACATAAATGCTGAGATTGCAGCCCTTCCCTATGCCTAAACCCCAGAATGCAGCAAGGAGGATTATACCCTTAAACAGAAAAGCATTTTTTCCAAGTAACTTCGTAGGCCCAGGAAAAAAGGCCTAAATGCACAAACCTTGTGTGCCACCCAAAGAAGTAATCTGTTTGGATGAGCCTTCAGTAAAGTCCTGGGTCAGGAAGCTCCACCAAGCCTTACCCTCACCCACGGACACAGAGCATTACAGTGCCCCACTCTGTAAACAATCAGCTAAGGATCACACCGCAATTTTTAAAAGAGGCCAAAACAAAGAAACAGTTAAAAAGCAATCTAAAGAAACAGAGGCCATAGTGACTAACTGAATAATGATTGTTGAACTGGATCAAAGTAGATTTCCTAATATGATTGTGAATATAGATGTTTTAAGTATGGTTTTACAGTTGTTTTTTTTTGTTCTATGCAGTAGACAACACAGATTGTAAATGGAAAGACTGAAAAAGTTAAAACCAACTTGTACAAATCAAACAGAACTCCTATTCAAAGAACAACCATATTTACATGGCTCACAACAGAGCTGACAAAAACTAATGCCAGCTTCCACAATGTAGTGAAAATCCAGGATGTAGAACTCAAACATCAGTGTGTAACTGGAGAAGATGAGCTCCTGATGCTAAAAGAAAATCTACAACAGTAAAAGGATTTTGAAGATTTCAAACCCAGAGGAGTCCATACCTATGCTCTTACCCCTTTCAAATGAGGAT